TGGGGAAGAATTTACAAAGGATAACAGGGTGGTGGGTGTTTTATGGTCTAACAAAAGGGACAGTGGCCTTTGGTTTGCTCCAGCTGAATGGAGAGAGTGTAGACTTGGAATTCAGGTCTTACCCATTTTGCCCATTACTGAAGTTCTGTTTTCAGACGTTCAGTTTGTGAAGCAGTTGGTCGAATGGACACTGCCAGCTCTGGCAAGGGAAGGTGGGGTTGGAGAAGGGTGGAAAGGGTTTGTGTATACATTGGAAGCAATATATGATAAAGTGGGTGCTTTGGACAAAACTAGGAGTTTAACTGGATTTGATGATGGAAACTCGCTTTCAAATCTACTGTGGTGGATTCATACTAGAGATGATAAAGTGGAGGAAAGTGATAAAGGAAGCAAGTTCTGCTGGTTCCGACACTACTCTCATTAAGTTTTATGGTGTGTTACATTTGGAATGTCCTTTTAAGGCTTTAATTGAGTATACTCAAAATATGACATGATCAGAACAAAAAAGAAGGTTATTTTGTTTCGTAATTTGGTACCTGTCGTTTCTTTTGTTTGTATATAAATTGGATCATTAGTCTGCAGCTCAATGCTTTGCGATATGATTGCTGTAAGTTCTTCCCCGATCTTAGTTGTTTTAAATAAAAGCTCAAATTTTATAATGTCTAACCAAAGTTTCGGTTCCTTAGGATGAAAAACAAAAATGTTAAATACCATGAATAAATAATTTGCTGAATCGATCATTGGTGTACCTGTAATCTCCTAATTTAGTAGGTGAAGCCATGTATATTGTTACTGAGCTGATCTTTGTGTATCTGAGGTTGGTTCCAGACATTTCCAATATTAGATGTGAAGTTATGAAATTGCGTCTGGTGAAGGATATTAATGTTCGCAGACATAAATACTTAATTTGGATTTCTGGTGAGATATACATTAAAAAGGAAGTAAAATATCTGCTTGTTATGAATGGAGACTAAATCTAATCAACCAAATCCCTTGTAGCACTGAAAAAATAAAACACTTGTTTGCAAATCAAAACTTATTGATCATCCAGTGATCTGAAAATTCCAAGCCGAAATCTTTCTGTGCAATGCTCTGCTTGAAAGTCGTCGTTCTTCGATCTCTGTTCTTGTTTTGGACATCTCTGTCTCCATTGTTGCCCAATTCTTTGACCCCTTTTCAGCTTTTCATCTAGCAGGTAGCCGTTGGTCCAAATTTGTCTTGAAATCTGGGCACTGTTCGGTTTTGTCTCCTTTCTGTTCTCCTTTTTCTTTTTAAATCAAATTTGCTGCTGCTGGTGAAATTTTTGGACCTGCAACAATTGTCACTTCCAATGTTCTTTACTTTTTAGGCAAGTAAGAGGGTAGAAGCAAAGGAACATTATAACATCGTTTAAGATGAGGTTTCGGTGTCCCAAGACTTAGGAAAAGAGTAGGCTCTGTTGAAGTCTTGCTTTTACTAGAATGCTTGAGGGAGTATTCTGCATCTGATCTTACTTGGTATTGGAGTTAGGTCTTGGTTGTTTACTAAGTATTCATAAAGTTGTCGAATTCTTTGCTGATTGTTCATTCATAACTGTTTCTCTAAGTGCAATAAGAGTTTAGTAAGATGGGAAAATCTCATAAAGGGGAATGAAGTTAATGTCAGCTGTAAAGAGGAATACAAAGATGTCTCAGCGCTAGTTAAGCATATTCATGCACCTGATATTTGATAATTCAAGTGAAAAACTGGATCAACCATTCAGGTGCATAGTCTACTAAGGCCACACTGTGTCATTGCTTTTTAATTAGCGTAACTGTTGAATGTATATGAGTTTAAAATGTCTGATAGGAAAACTTTGAAACTTGTGATGTGTTGCATTTTGTACCTCGTGTGCGTCTCACTATTTTGGAGTTGAGATACCAATGCTTCTGATGACAAAGGAGTAATTTCTGTTGAATTTGTATCTGATAATGTAACTTCTTGCCTATCTCTTGTTTCTCTGCTTAAGGCATGTGAATTGACCAGTGTATTATATGTTGGCTTTATAGAGTCACAAGATGCTGTAACACCTTTTCATATTCTGGGACGTCAACCTCAGATAGTTTCAGGTACTTAATTGCGTGTACATTCTTCTCTATCAGAGTAAATGGGTATGGTTGATCTGATTGATTTTTGTTTTAGTGCTCTATATTATATGCTTCTGATCATGTTGAAGGCTTGAAGCCATAAGAAAAGGTGTTATGTTGCAAAATATTTCTGCAAAATGTGTTATGTTGCTGCTTAAATCTCTAGTAGAAAAGACCTCTTCCACGTATATATAGGTATGTTTTTCTCAACAGAAGTTTAACTTGGTTGCTTCAGTTAGTTGCTTGCCGAACACAGTAAAATTTATTTGTTTTTCCTGGTGCAAGATTCAGGTTTTGAGGATGTGTCAATCTGAAAAGCCTTTTGTAAAGGCTACCAATCTGACCAGCTAGTTATGGATATGGCCTCAAAGGTGAAGAGTCATATTTGGAGCTTAGTTTGAATTTTTTCTTGAATCAAACTCAGCTAAGTATTTGTTGGGGCTAAAAACATATATTGCTTCTGAATATGGGATGTTTGGCTCTTTATTGGCCATTCCATATGGCATATGCATGAAGGAGGAGCCGTAGAACCATGACAAACAACAACCTGGATTCAAGAGTTAACTTCACATTAGGCGTAGGCATGTCAAATAGTTCTAGAGGCATTCTCATTCAAGTGACGCACTGGATTACCATTTTCAACAAGTGTGAATCATCTGATGTGAATGTGATACGTTGACCTCAGCCTTCAAGATGTGGCTAGTGGTGACGGTCCTGATATTCTTGCTCTACTTCTACAAAAATCTTTCTTATGACACACCAAGAATCTGGAAAATGTAATTAGCCGCATTTATTATTCACGATAAATTAAATAATTTAATCTTAAAAGTAACAAATTAAAGTTGGAATACAGTATATATTTTAAACAAGATGCACACCAGAAAGGGACAGTTTTGTCTGTTTTCGCCTGCAACTTTGAACTTACCGTTTCTTGAAGCACTTTCTGCGACCACATTTCGCTATGCTCTTTGGTTTTCTCTTTTTCCCGTTGCCCTAGAATATCTTTAGAGCTCGTTTGGATTGATTTATTTTAAGTGTTTTTAAGCCAAAATAGTTTTTAAGCCATTTTATAGTGTTTGAATAAAATAAAAAAGTACTTTTAAGTACTTATTTTAAAGCTAAAATAACTTTTGGCTTAAAAGCCACTTACAACAAGTCCATCCAAACGGGCTCTTAATCTTTCTGATCATGACGTCAGGGCCGACTCTAATGTTTTGAGTAGTAAGGCTTGTGCCTTAGGCCCCTAAATTTAAGGGGTCCCATTTTTTTTTTGGAATAATAGATTTGTAGGTATTTAAAAAAAAATATTTAATATTTTTAATACAAATATATAAATAAAATAATAATTTGACTTATTTTAATTTGTCCAAGTTAATATTTTTTTTTCTCAATCTCTTCATATTTCAGAAACCCTTATATATTTTCTATCTTTCTCTTTAATATTCTTACTCACCTTCTTTCTCTAAGAAATTTAAGCTTCCAATAGTTCTATACTTCTATTACTCTATAAAATCCTATGTAAAATCAACAATATCTCAAGAAAGATTAAATGAGTTGGCTATATTATCAATTGAAAAGGAATTATTAGAGAAAGTCGATTATAAAAAGGATTATTAACAACTTTGTATTTCAAAAGTTAGAAGATTAGACTTTAAATAAAAACATCATTTATAACGTTTAAAAAAAATTAGGTCTCACATTAAACTTTGGTTTTAGGCGCCGCATATACTTGAGCTGCCCAAGAGCGAATTTAGGGGGGCGGAAGAGGGTTCACCCCAACGCCTTTTGCCGAAAAATTACACTGGAGTCATCCCAAGGCATAACTTAGTGGTCAAGGGAGTTCAAAACCTTTTGTAAATTCATTAGTTTCATTCCCACTAGCTACAACCTTTCTTAACTTTTTTCTTTTTTGAACCTCTTAGGGAAAATTGTGTCTCCGCCACTAGAACCGCCCCTGCATGACGTGGTAACAAAATATGGCTTCTCCTTTTGAATTATTGTCCCATATGTAAATTACGAGAATCATCATAGTAATCTATTTCTAAGAGAGTTAGGTAGTGGGTTATTGACTTTAGCAACCAAAGATGCAGCAAATATTCGTTAGTAACGTTCACTATATTTTGTTTTATTCCATCTCAGTTGAATGGGTCCTATTAACTGATATTTAATGCCAATTACAAACTACAGTTTACATAGAATAAGTCCTGGCAACGTTGTTTCTTTTCCTTCCGTACAGTTCTGTAACGTTACAACATTAAAATCCATTATGCAATACATTCAACTATAATTAAAAGAAAGCAATTACCAGTATCCTTTCTCTGTCTGTCTCTCAGATCTCCTATTTTTCCTCATTTCTTTTCCTTGTTAATCACAATTCCATTAATTTTGCAGAAATCTTTGGACTTTTAGCCACTTTTTAAGCACAAGATGATGCTAGCCAGCTGGTCTTGACAACTACGAAAAAGGAAAGAAATGTAAAGTAGGAAACACGATTCTGTCACGTTCTGAATTAAATCCTTCTTCTGTGTCAACTTGGTACGACTATTTCTTTTTAAGTGGAGAATTGTTTTTATATTGTCTAACCAATCCTCATCCATCTTCTTTTAAATAAACTCAGTAGCCAAAAATTAAAGGGTCTTCCAAAATCTGTTCAACAATCATCTCAAATGTTGGGAGCTGGAAACCAAACTTCTTTGCACAGTGAGTATGCAATGTTGCTCATTTTACTGTTCTATTCATTTTCTGTTTTTGTTAATGGTTATAATGCTCAGTTAACCTCACATTCAAACCATAGACCACACCATCATTTTCTCTTCACCAAAGCAAAATCTAAAGTCTTGCCTAATCCAGCAGATTACTTTTCTAGCCAACTTCTTTCCACCCCTTTGCCCACTAATTCATTTTTCCAAAATTTTGTGCTCAAGAATGGTGACACACCTGAGTACATTCAACCCTATCTAATTCGCTCTGCTAACTCCTCTGTTTCTCTTAGTTACCCATCTCAGAATATAACCTCTGCTTTAATAGAACAGATTTTTCGCCCGGATTTGACTATATCCGCTTTCAAGAATCCTAACCCAACGCAGCACCACATAATCTCATCATATAGTGATCTTAGTGTTACTTTAGACTTAACATCAAGTAACCTTAGATTCTTTCTGGTCAGAGGTAGTCCTTATTTAACCTTTGCCGTTAGTAGAAACACTTCCATTTCAATCTCAACCGTTCATCCCATTCGCAAACTCTCTTGTGATAGTTCTTTGACTAAGTATACAATTAGACTCCGCAATCGTCAAACATGGATCCTATATGCATCTTCTCCTATTCATTTGACTCACAATGTATCCTCCATAATTTCTAATGGATTCTCGGGTGTAATACGAATTGCTCTCTTGGCTAATTCTGATCGCCAATGTGAGAAAATTCTTGATCAGTACAGCTCGGCTTATCCCGTGTCTGGAAGTGCAACTTTGAGGCCTTTTGGTCTTAGTTACAAATGGGATGTGAAAGGTAAAGGCAAGTTGCTTATGCTTGCTCATCCTCTCCATCGCCGACTTCTTTCAACAGCAGATTCTTCAGTAACTATTTTGGATGATTTCAAGTATAGGAGCATGGATGGTGAGCTTGTTGGTGTTGTTGGAAATTCGTGGGAGCTTGAAACGGATTCAATTCCAGTATCATGGCATTCGGTTAAAGGTTTGAATAAAAAATCTAACCCTGAAATTATTCGTGCACTTGGTAAAGATGTCAAGACTTTGAATGCATCAAACATATCTACTACATCATCGTACTTTTATGGGAAATTGATTGCTAGAGCAGCAAGATTGGCATTGATTGCAGAAGAGGTTTCTTATCCTAAGATAACGCCGGTCGTTGTTCAGTACTTGAAGGATACAATAGAGCCATGGTTAAATGGTACATTTGGTGCCAATGGCTTTTTCTATGACAGAAAATGGGGCGGCCTTGTGACTAAACAAGGGCTAAATGATACAACAGGTGATTTTGGTTTTGGAATATACAATGACCATCATTTTCATTTGGGATACTTTGTGTATGGTATTTCTGTGCTTACTAAATTTGATCCTGCTTGGGGAAAGCAGTACAAAAAGCAAGCCTATGCTTTAGTTGAAGATTACACGAACTTGGGACTTAAACAGAACCGGCATTATACTCGTGTTAGGTGTTTTGACTTCTGGAAGTTACATTCTTGGGCTGCAGGGTTGAATGAATTTCCATTTGGGAGAAATCAAGAGAGTACAAGTGAAGCGATTAACGCGTATTATTCAGCAGCATTGATGGGGTTCGCGTATGGAGATTCTGATCTTGTTTCAATCGGATCAACTCTTACTGCCTTTGAAACTCTATCAGCACAGACTTGGTGGCATGTAAAAGGAGACAACAGAATCTATGCGCCGAGTTTTGTCAAGAAAAATAAGGTGGTTGGTATTTTATGGTCTAGAAAAAGAGACAGTATTCTTTGGTTTGCTCCAGCTGAGAGAAAAGACATTAGGCTGGGGATTCAAGTTCTGCCATTACTGCCAATTACTGAGGTTGTGTTTTCTGATGTCGATTATGTGAAGGAGCTTGTTAAATGGGCACTCACTAGTGTACCTAAAAATAGAACTGAGGAAGGTTGGAAAGGATTTGTTTATGCCTTGGAAGCTATTTATAGAAAGAAGCAAGCTCTAAAGAAAGTGAGGGACTTGAGCAATCATGATGATGGGAATTCACTCTCAAATCTATTGTGGTGGATTCATAGCAGAAAATGATGAGCATTTAATTTGAGAGGTTTGCTAATTATGCTTTTTAGATTGTTATTCTTGATAGGTTGATCATTTCCATTTGTCTGAGGAAACTTCAATAAATATGGCATGAGTAACACAGTGAGAATAACAATGTGTTTATTATTGACCAATGTCACAATGCTCATGCTTTTTACACTGGGCCATTTCTTGAAGCTTTTTAACATGAAATATGCATCATGATTAATAGAGTTTCTGAATTAGAATTTTCTTGCTGCTACATTCTGTTATGTTACATATCTTGAACTCTATAGATGCTATGCAATTGGCACTTATCCACTAAGCTAAATGCCACTTGAGCGACTACCTATGGACAGAGGCAGATCCGGGAATTTAAATTTTTGGGTTCCTGCAACAACCTCGAGTTAAATACATAATAATAAATGGATTCAAAATCGAATATTTATAAAGTTTTATTGAATTTTCTAATGTAAATACAAGATTTGGGCAAAAGCTACTGGGCCGGGAACCCATATGTTAAGGCTAGATCCCCTGTCTACTGAGCCAAGTGGGCTGATTCACTAGGTTACATAGTTTGTTCGCACACAGAATTTTGTACAAGCAATGTCTGACCTATTATCACTAACTCGATTTGTATGTGAGTTTGAGTCCGAAATTGTAGAGGTTCTAAGGTTTTACCATTTTGTCCCAAATTGATATTTGGCATTGGTTTACATGTAGATTTAGTGAATGTTTATCTGTGAAGTGGTGTTGGAAGACACTCCTTGTAGAAGGATATCCCTTCTATTGCGAGCAAATATGCTGCCTCCTCTATTAAGAACAACGACGACAACGACAAACACAATGTGTTCTCATAAGTGGGATCTGGGGAGGATGGTGTGTACGTAGACCTTATCCCTACCTTTAAAAAAGGTAGAGAGATTGTTTCCGGTAAACCCTCGGCTCATGAGAGATAAAAGAGAAGGGGTAATGATAAGCAAACCAATCAGAAAACCAAGCGAAAACACAAAGCTAACACTAAGTAATGCAATTAGAAAACCAAACAAAAGTAAATAACAAGTAATAACAGAAGTCCAAA